GTAAAGGGAGCCTGCCTGCTCAGGCCTTTTCTTCTTTGCATATGCCCACTGGCCTTTCTGCTTTTCTGCCTTGGGGAGAAGGCAACACATGACCCTCTCCAGAGGTGAATAGATACCTGCACCATGCTTTTGACCTATCCAGCTTATAGAACTGCACCAAATAAACGTGTTTTCTTTATAAAGTACTCACTCTCAGGCATTCTGTTATAGCGGCAATACAAAATAACTAGTAGTAAGGTAGAAACCTACCAGAAATTGAATCTGCCAGCACCTTGGTCTTGGATTTCCTAGCCTCCAGAACTGTGAGAAATAAATACCTATCATTTAAGCCACCAAGTCTATGGTATTTTGTTATGGTAGCCCAGGATGACTAATAAAAAATGCCCATGTTACATTATATTAATAATTCCATTCTGGGTGGATTAAATCATAACTGGTAAAGTCAAAACTTTAAAACTTCTAATACAAAACATAGAAGAAATATCTTTATGACATAAGGTAAGGAAGGATTATTTAAATGAGGCACAAAAAAGGGCTAATTTACAAGGAAAAATATTGGCAAGTTTTACTACATTAAAAATTAGTAGATGTGGTGGTTAAGGCACTGGACTCCCACATCACTGACCACGGTTCGAGTCCTGGATCTAGCAGCTTGCTTTTTTGCTTTCCCTCTCTTCCTCTTTCTCTGTCTTTCTCTGGTGAGTGCATGTTCCTTATAGCAAATTAAACAGCAATAGTAATAATAATGATAAATTGAAAGATGATGTTTAGAAATACACTTAACTGGGACCAGCAGATGCATAATGGTTACATTGCTGGACTCCCACATGGCTGCCACAGTTTGGATCCCAGATCACAGTGGCTTGAAACTCACACTGGGCACATATGCGTGTGCATATCCAAAAATCCCAAGAGGAGAGTGGAGGAAAAGGGATTTCAGAGTGGCCATCTCTCCTAGGGGGGTTCTTGCTTTCTGTCTCTGTCTCTCTGGCAAGTGCACATGCCCTATAGCAAAAATACCTCTTTAAAAAAAAAAAAAGAAAAGAAAAAGAAAAGAAAAAGAAAGAAATATACATAACCAAGTATTCACATCTATATAAAGAATATATATGAATCAATAAAGAAAATAAAACAAAGTACTGAACAAGTATTTCACAAGAAATGAATCACGAACAACCCATAAACATATCAGAAAACGGTCAATCTTGGTAACCAAGAAGTACCAATAATATAGCATTCTATATGCATACACATACATATTCTTCAATCCAACAACAGTAAGAATTGGTGAGAAAGTGGAGCGTTAGGAATTATCACATCTTACCAGTGAAAAGGGTAACTTGCACAGCCTCTATGAAAAAGATTTTGCCACTATCTAGAAGAGTTGAGCACACATACATCTTACCTCTATCAGTGAAACACTCTACAAAAATTATACCATTGGTGAACCAAGACATGTTTACAAAAATCTTCTCCAAAATACTATTCCAAGCCACAAAAAAATAATAGCCACCTGAATGTCACTAATATAGAAAAACCAGGACCAGTCCTTGATGCGGTGGTTAAGGCAGCTGGATCCCCCATGGCCAACTGCATGGTTAGAGTCCCAGAACTGGCAGCTAGAAAAACACACTGGGCACATGTGTGTGGGTGCCCAAAATCTTGAAAGAGGAAATGGAGGGGAAGTGGTTGCAGTGTGACCATTCCCCTCTCTCTGTCTCCTTTCAGTGAGCACATGCACCCTCTAGCAAATTTAAAAACAAAGACAAAAGAGAGAGAAAAACAAATTGTCATACAACAATAAATGGAATATTAATATAGCAATGAGAATACATGAATCACAGCTGCTCCATTTAACTTCTATTGTTAAATACCACCATCAATGCTGACCAAAAAGAAAGGTAGATCAAAGGAAAGCTATGAAAAGCAAAACCAAAAATCAAACCCTACTGTCTTGCAAATATACCATGATATAAACAGATTCAGATATAATGGTTTCTTTTTGGCAGAAATGGACTAAGAGGGCATGTAATGAGGAAGAATGACCTAAGAGTCAGCAAAAGTACTGGGTTGCCAGAAAAGTCATGACAGGGACCAGCAGTTAGCGTAATGGCTATGTCGCTGAACTCCCATGTAGTCGACTGCAGTTTGAGTACCAGACCCGGTGGCTTAAACTCACGCTGGGTGCATATGCGTGCGTGCCCAAGATCCCGAGAGGAGACGGGATTGCAGCGTGGCCATCCCCCACAGGGGGGGCGTGATATCTCACTTTCTATCTTTCTGTCTCTCTCTGTCTTTCTGGCGAGCGCATGCACCCTATAGCAAAAACCTCTTCCCCCCCAAAGAAAAAAGTCATGACAGATTTTTTTCAGAGAAAAACAGAAAAAATACGTCACGACTTTTCCAACAACTCAACACTTGAAGTGTTCTATTTTTCAGCTGAGTGGCAGGTTCGTATCTGCTCATTTCATTATTCATTAGTCTCTATGTATATATGACATATATTGCATTACATACAACTATAAAAATGAAATCTTCATGAATCACAGATCTTTATGTTCAGTCTCTATACACAGTCACATCCAAAGAAACACAGTCAAAACAACCCCAAATAAAACTTCTTAAAATGGGATTTTAAAAATATATATGGCAGATGATGGAACAATCTGTAATTCCATTCTCAGGACCTACCTTTCCTTACGGCTACCCAAAGGCCTAGATTAATGCTCAGAAGATTTCCTGTCTACCTGAGGAAACAACTGAGAATTGTGAGGCCTTAGCCTTACAGGTTTTCCTCCTTGATAAAAAAATTTCACATTCTCCCGAACTCTACGGAAGTCTACGATTTTTTTCCAATGATGGACAGGAAACTTAGTCCCAGGAGAGTGCTGAATGGCAGTGATCTCCAGGCCAGAAGGTCTTTGCAGCTGCCACTTTATACTCTTTCCTAAGTGAACCTGTTACCCCGGGGATCAGCCTTGTCTGGACTTTTATCAGCCACTGTGTGCTCAGTGCTGCTCTCTGCACGAGTCTCCAGGAGGCAACTCACAGCAGGATCTCTGTTGCGCTTTCTAATAACCTCTCCACCTCGTTTACGGAATCCATTTGTCAAGAAACATAAACTGATGTCTGAGTAGATGGTGTGGCCAGCCCCTTCCTATACCACCCAGAGATCAGACATACATCCAAGGCTCATCACTGCAGCTGGCAGTGTCTCAGCTTCCACATCCCAGAATACTTGGTAAATACCCCAAGGAGAGGGTTCATTCTTGAGCCATTGGTAACCTTAGTATAAGCAGTCTGCCATTTTGTTTCTTTAAACCTTCTCATGCTACTTCCTGGTTTTGGCAATTGGGATTTGGGAGACAATCTTTGTTCCACTAGTATCCGTTTTTGGGTTTCCATATGTTACAGCATTTCCAGGCATTTCTCAATGTCTCAAATCGCCTTAGCTTCCACAATTGCTAATCTCTGCTCCTTCTTTTCTTTACTTACCATCATGACACAGGCCAGAAGAAACCCACACTACTCTTTGCTTATCAGGATGGCAGGACAGGGATGGCAGTGGTGCCTTGTAGCATGTGGAGAGAAGGTGTCTCTTGGAGCAATCAAAGTGTGGATGAATCCTTAGTTCACAGAAGTGGCTGGAGACGGGCATATATCAGAGTGGGCGTTTGGTCACTGGGCAGAGATTTTGTGTGTTCCCTTACTGATCAGAGCAAGTCCAACTAAATAAGTTCCAAACTCAAGCTAGATTGGTGTCTGAGTGGGGTAAGGACAGTGGTGTTTGGTCCTTTCAGATGCCGCATGTGTTTGGTCCTTTCAGATGCCGCAGCAGTGAAAGAGAGATATACTGGCCTAGGCCTGTATTTGAGAAGATGCACTAAGGAAGTTATCTCAGGGAACTTGGACAAGTAAAAGAAACAAGTAGATTCAAAATACCAGACTTACCTGAGAAAGTTCAATTTTTCCTTTATATTTCCAAAGTGCTAATATGCCTCTGCAGGATAGTGACAAGGATGTAAATGGGGTAAAAGCATCACCTGTGCAACCTTGTATTTAAAATGTAAATCTGGATTTATGGGACTTACTACACAGCACCTCTGCCTTCTCTCCTGAGCTTGAGGTTAGATTTGCCTGTATATATTAGTTTTTCCATTATGTGTACCTTCTTTTCAGATTGACCTCCTTGTAACTTTGATTCTGTGTTTCACTTTTAAAAATGTGGTGTCATGGGGTCAGCAGATGGAGAGGAGGTTAAGGCAGCTGATCCCACAAGGCCAACTGAGTAGTTAAGAGTCTTGGACCCAGTAGTTTTAAAATCACACTGGTTGTGTGTACGTGCATGCCCAAAGTCCAGAGAGAATGGAGGAGGGACTATGGCATGGCCACACCCCTCCCTCTCTCTCTCTCTCTCTCTCTCTCTCTCTCTCTCTCTCTCTGGCAAATGCACACTCTCTATAGCAAGCTAAAACAGAGAAGAAAAGAAAAGAAAATGTGGCATTGATTGTTTCCATCCCCTCCCTCTTCGAGGGTTAAAGCTGAGAATCTAATCATGGGAAATGCCATTAAGCTAACTTGAGAACATAGGTTGACTTAATGCTCTTAGCATCTGGCAATGGTCTCTCAGCTGTGCCCTACAGTTAATAGGACTCCAGGATCCATTTAGCACAAATAATCTAAGAAATGTCTAAAGAAAAATATGGTAAGGAGGACAGATAATATCTGCTATCTATTAGGGAACAGCAAAGAATCAGAAAGTAGAAAAAGAGACTATTATCCTTTAATACTGTTTATATGAATAATTCTTGGAAATTTCAAAATTGAGTATCATTAAAGATCTGTTTCTGGAAAGGTACGAGAAGGTTCAAAAATAATAGTTATATGTATGCTGACCTGAATGTTATATGTTGCTCCCCACATAAAATAATGCATAGGTAATCTACTTATATGCTCACCATGAACGCCCCCCCAAATAAATGAAGAAATGCTAGACTCACATTGGTGACATATTCGATATCCTTCCAAAGGATGCACTCCCTGGGGAAATCGGCCAAGTCTAAGAAGTGATCCACCACCACCTGGCCGATTAAGTCGTGGCGAGAGAACCTGTCAAAGTCGTACACAGAGAAGTGAAGCTTTCGTGCTTCAAGGTCATTGTAAGGAACTGGGAATAAAAACACTTCATCAAACACAGGGTTCAGGGTCTTTCTGTGAACTTTAGTCTGGTGTTTGGTTTTCCGATCAGGAAGCAAATAGATCTTGACATAAGGATCCGAAGTCCCGGAAAAGTCCTTGGCGGGCAAATTGACAGCTTTGTGAATCTTCACTATGAGCTGCTCTAAGTCACAGTCATACTTCAAAATGAAGTTCAGTTTCCCACATGCTTTGCTGTTACTCCTTCTCCCATCATCATTATCCAGTGACCTCTGCTTATATAACTCTGGTTTAATTCTACCAATTCCAGTCAACTGTTCCTGCTTTTGAAGCTGCTGGATATTGAAGTCCGGATTTGACAGGTTGAGTTGTCTTCGGATTGAATTATGCCTGGAATGAAGAGCAAGACAGAACAAAGCTATAACCTCATCGGCTAGGAGTCTTTCAGAAACTTGTGTCTGGGATGGAGGTAGACTGTTAAGTTCTGTTAAACGCTTAGCTCAGTGGATTTTTTTTTTTTTTTTGGCCTAAATTCAAAATGCTCATCAATGTGAGTAAGCCGCTCCCTAAGGCTTGAAGCTCAAAATTGAAGCTTGGTATCAGGAAATGAACTTCCTAACATGTGACCTCGGAGCTTTAAAGGTTTAATGCACTTTCTAAACCATCTAATGTACCATTAAAGAAGCTTATTTGGCCGGGATAATGTAAAGATTTGCACAAACTGCTTTGGAAATGAAATTACTCACCTTTATGTATATATACTAGACTGAAAAGAAAATAGTTAAGTGTTGTCTAAAGAAGATTTTTTTTAAAATAGAACTTCCTGTCACTGGCTTATAGCTCTATAAGAATGTGAATTCTTACTGGTTCCGATCAAATCATCTCAGCATAAGAACAGAGTTTCTGCTCCCGTGAAAATGAATGAGGCTGAGATGTGACTGCTTATATGGACTGTGCTGCTTTGACAAGTGCAAGTGAACCACTGGGCTTGTGTATTTACTGGCCCATGTGGGTGACCAATGCTCAAGAGGAACGGTTTTATTTCTGAAACAAACACTAATGTAACAAAAATTAAAGGTGAGCTACTATAAATGCATATAAGGATTCAGCTGGATACTGATATTTGCAAATTAAATATTTGCTGAAAGAGACTACTCTTTTCCCTGTATACTTACTGATCTGACTTAGAAATTTCCATAAAGTTCTTATTAAAACTTGACTTATCTATGTGGATCCTTATAAATTGAAATAAATCGTTGTCATATCGAAGGCTGTTTTTATAGCTATTTTTGTTTGTTTTTAGCTCAGAGTTCAAAATCATTATAATAAATGCAGTCGCTCATAATATTATTTAAAATACCCTCTCTACTACAGATAGATGGAAATAGCTGGGCTGTCTGAGAGACTGGCAAATAGGTGGAGAGGCAGAGTAAGCATTTAAATTTTTTTTTCCTTTCTTAAGTCTATTTTATGATGTAGAGATGTAAAAGTGGGATTAAGAGACCCCAAAACAGGTTTGAAATTATTCTCCCCTGTTATCACAGACATTGTCATGTTCAACACTGCTCATCAGCCTAAAATAGCCTCCTGATCACCCATGTGGTCCAAGAACACCGTCACAGAGCTGTCACTCGTACCTGTCATAGCCAACACAGTCCACAGGAAGCAGACATAACCCAATCACATTAACTCCCACATGTGCGAAATGTAAGTGGCCTACAAGTTGAGGTTATGTGATTTAATTTCTTACAGGGAAATTCATAATCTTAAGGTCTCTGTAGTTCATGATTTGTGACAGGCAGGGAGGGAGGGCAATTGATACTGTTGAGTGCCTAAGTGCCTAAACTTGGTGCCTCCTGTAGCCCAGCCAGGTTATTCCCTTGGCCAGAACCAGAACTGACGTAGAGCTGGAAAAAAACTTGAATCTCACCCTACTGGACACTGTGGGTGGACAGGATGGCTACAGCAGCGAGTATCTTACCCTACAGGAGAGCCAGAACCAGCTGCTACCAGCTCTGACTTCCTCTATTGATTTTTCTTTGCAGCTAGATTCCAAAAGGCCCATATTTTGGTCCTGAGTCTTTGGTCTAAGAATGGTGGAAACTAGCTAGGGAGGGCTCGTATGCACCACTCTGGGTGCTGCCTCTGTGCACTTAGTAAACGGCAGAGCCAGAGGTCACGTGGCTAACTGCGGGTTCAGACCCCCAGCCCTGCTGACCTGAAATACACTAGGGGCCCAGGATCCTGATGAGGGAAAGGGGGAAAGGGATTGCGGAATGCTCAGAACCCGTTAAGGGGAAAAGGGATTGCTCCCCTCAACTCATGCCCATGCATGTGTTATCGTGAATAGAGAAAATAAAAATACTAAAAGACCCACTGGATGCTCCTTCTCTGGAATGATCTGTGATGAAACCACAATCCTGTATCGACACCCACCCTGATCCCTGCCCGCCTCCCCAGGTGATTGCTGAGCAGACTCTGTGTATACCACTTTATCCTGGAGTTTTTTGAATACTGGCTTGAGGCTCATCACAGCAATGGTTTGTCGTCGCCCTGACCTATAGTCCTAAGCTTATCATGTAAATTTTAACTTAAAATACATAGATTTGGCTACAGTGGAACTTACTTTGTTTTACATGTACATTTTCTTAGGATACAAAATCTGAAGAGAAATTAGTCCAACGTGCTTGCTCTTCCTAATCACAGTGGTTACCGGCAAGTAGAAGGGGGTGGGCTGGGGAGGGCATCTGGAGAAATTTATATTTCAAAGACCAAATCAAGTCCCATCACCCGGGAACCCAACTGCCCAGGAAGCTCAAAAATCTTAGATGGCCAAAGATTCTTCTTAAAAATCAATCACAAAGGCGAGCAAGAGGCGCGGAGGTTAAAGTTCTGGATCCCACATAGCCAACTGAGTGGTTTGAGTCCTGGATCTGGTAGCTTGGAAATCATGCTGGTCATGCATGTGTGTGTATTCCTAGAATGCTGAGAAGAAACTGGAGGAGAAGGGATTGCAGTGTGACCATCCCCCTGGGAGGTAATTTCTCACTTTCTCTCTCTCCCTCTCGCTCTGTTTCTTTCTAGCATATACATGTGTCCTATAACAAACAAAAAATAAAAATAAAAAAGAAAGAAAGAAAAGGAGCCTTCCCATCTAAGCAAAACCTAAAAAATGAAATTTAAGAAATCAATCACAGATGTGAATGCTATTATCTACCTAAATGTTTAACATGATGGATTTCATTCTCAACACTCCCTCCACTGTCATCTGAAATCACACAACTGGGAAAATAGCTGAACCTAACTGTAAGGTAGTGGCTTAAAGCAGATAGCAAAGACTATAACAGGGCATGGCAGTTTCTTCCTCCCTGGGGCTCCATTTCAATCGCTTTCAATTTCCTTTCTGGAGGGAGATAGAGTTTATTGGAGTTGGGAACAGCCAGAGAACCAGGATAACTCATAACCTCTGTGCATAACCTCTGAAACTCTGGGGGCTGAGAAATGAGAAAGTAGAGCAGGGAGACTGCCCCGGGGACACAGAAGAGAAGATGAGGTGAGGAAATGGAAAATCAATATTTCCATAGCTCTATAGGTTACACCAGTGGAGGCAGGAAGAAAATGCAAGTCCAAAGCGCAAGGAAGGAAAGATACAGAGTTATGACCTGAGGTCTAAGCACCGGTGTCAGTGGGGTTGGACTCTGAATGCAATACACAAAGCAAGGGTCTAGAATCTTAATGCAACTACATGACATTGATTATGACATTGAGTGAGTGTGGCAAGGGGGGATATTTGTCTGAAGCAGACAGTCTTCTGAATAGGTCTGGGGAGTCCTGGATTTTGCCGTTCTCAGGACATAATGTGCACGATGAATGGAAAGAGGTAAAACTGGACCCCTAAAGCAGGGGCTGAGAAGAGTAGAGAGATGGTCTCTTCTGTAAATAAGTCACATTCTCACGCTGTTTCAGAGAAGCTGGCTGCTGGGTTGGATTTGATTCAAGACAGGCAGAGGTTGTTTTCCTGTCATGGAAGAGACAAGGAAGGGAACTTACACATAGGACTTGGCTACCCCAGACCTGAGTTGGATGACTAGTGGTTTAAGCTAGAGAAAGCTTGAGTCTGAAAACAGTTAACGAAATTTGTAAAGCAGATTTCTCATTATTGGTCAAAAACCTGCTTTCGTGCCTGAAAAAATCTGAATTTTCTGCCACAGGTTAGGGAGAGGCAGGAGTTCAGAGGCAAAGGATTTTTTCTTCCTTTTCTTTCCTCAAATGAATTAACCAGTCCCAGTTCTAGTCTTAGAACTTGGACTAAACTATTCTCAAGAAAGCCAACTATGTCCATCCTATCTTAAGAAACAGGACATTACTGCAATTCAACCCATTCAAATGTGCAAACCGAGGTGTCAAGTGGAGTGGAAGGTGCAGAATCAAAAGTGTGGCTGCTGCCTTGAAGGAAATGATTGTCAGATAACCTCATGATAACTATACAGCAGTCAGAAAGACGTAAGAATTGACCAGAGAGTAGCGAACCCTAGAAGCAGAGAGGGAGAAAGAAAGGCCTTCTAGTTCAGGCAAGTTTCATGGAGGAGATGGTTCTTGAGCTAGGCTTGCCCATTAAATTGGCCTCGTCCTTATCTGCCTCCAAGATGAAGCTGTAGGCTTCAAAACAGAAACTAACTGAAGTTTCAGCTCTCTAGTAGGATGGGATCTTCAATTCTTCTGCCCAGAAGCCTACTCTGAATTCCTCACATATGTCTACTGCACCTTCTATACCAGCCTCTGTAAGAGCCAGCACTCACAAGACCTGGTATACCTTCCACCTCAGGGTTTCCAGTGCAGCCATGGATGACTGCACATGTGTTCCACACTCAGTGACCCCATCTCAGAGGCAAAACTTGAACAAATTCTTTCCCTGATTTGGTACCCATGTCAACCAGGCTTCAGAATTCAAAAAGCAGAAAGAGAGGAGCATATTGTGACTTCAGAACTGTTATTGGTCTCTTTTCTATGTTTAGGTCAAGGCAAGGAAGGATAGAAAGAAGAGTGTTTTCCTTCTTTGAAATTCTCTGAGGGGGTGGAGAGGAGAGAACTACAGGCAGATACAGAAGGAGAAGTCTTGGAGATGAATAGGTACAGGCAACAGATTACAGAGGCAGGAGGAAGCAGGAATCTGAGTCTTCCTTGGCCAAGGTTTCAGGAGCTTCTAGGATGAGAGAGATAATGAAGACACAGGCATCAGACCTGTGGCCAGTGAAAGTACAAGGTCAAGTACAAGTGGACATACCTTAGCACCACTTGCTTCCTCCACCTCTCCCAAGTTAAACAACTTTAAAGTCTTGGTGCCAATTTTAAATACTCAATTCACCATAACCAAGATAAGCCTTTGTTCA